TATAGTTCATTTTAAACTCTTTTGAATATTTTTGAAATAACAGTGTGCACCAACCAGCCACAACATTAAAACCGCTTGCCAAATACGATAGCTCTGCAAAACCTCTAAAGGTGTCCTCCAGGCACCAAGATGTCAGCAGCAGAGCCTTCGTTGTCGTGATCTGTAGATCACGCTATTTTTTTCTTTCTTTCATATCCTTCGTCACTGAGATTGCGATGTGGGAAATTTTCAGGCCACACCTTGATCTGTTTATGCTTCTCAAACCATTCCAGAGCACATTTGCAGTGTCAATTCTCCTGGTGGAAGCTGAAATACAGTGAATGCATTTGCATGGTCTGCTGGAGTGTCTCAAAAGGTGACATGCTTCAACGTAACAATACACAAGATTGTTAGGAGCTAATATTCTCTGGAGTGTCACACTGCCTCTGGTGGCTTGCCGTTTTTCCATAGTGCGTCCTGCTGCTACCAGGTGAAAGAGGTGCACGCACCCAACCATCAACAGGACTCACGATCCTGCTTATGTGCACATTGTACCAGAGACATGGGACAGGATGGCCACTGCATTAAATCACTCAGTTCCTTGTGCTTGCCCATTTCTTTCACTTCTAACACGTCTGCTCCAAGAACTTTCTGCCTAATGTGTCTCACTCCCCTCACATTTACCACTGTATTCCTTGTTATGTTGGTGGTTTCAATGTTATGACTGATCAGTGTATATAAGCATGTTGAAGCAACATGATTTTTGCCAAACAAATTTCCCTGTTCTATTGATTTCTTTTTTTCTCTTCTTTTTAATAAAATCTGAATACGTTTTTTTACTGTTCAGCTTTTATTGCTTATTTGCTGTCTCATTTTTATATTCCAGGAAGTTCCCTATGAAGCAGGGAGTGTCTGCATTTTATATGCAGAAAATGGTCTGCAGTTCTCTGCTTCCTAGGTCAGAAGCTTGTTTATTTTGTCTCAGCGGCTACGCTCAGTCCCCAAAATGAACACTGATAGAAAGCAAGATATAAATAAACGAAAAGTTCCCATAATTGGCATGCCTCATATTGTACAATATTATTATTGTCGAGATTTTTATTTGAGCATGCACAAAATGCTAGCAATAATGAATTTCTGTTGTTTTTGAAGTTGATTACAGTACATTGAAATAAAATATAGTGGCCTGCTCAACCTTTGTCTTCGTTTTTAGTCTTCTTGACATAACACCTCCACTGTGCTACAAATACTCCACATTTATAACTTCATCAGAATCAGATGCACATTTATATGTAAGATCTAGTAACAACACAGTTTCTTTTTTGGATGACAACATATAAAAAAAATTTAATAAAATCAGCAACAAAAAAATTGAAACAGAGAAAAAAACTATTTTGCTGTAAAATTGGGACTACTAGCCAACATTAGTTGAGATGCCTGTATTAACTATCTAATTATTTGCACTGTAGATGCCTCTTCTCTGACCATGGAAGGCCCTCGCAGTGCTTTTTCCACCTCTTCCAGCTCCACCATGCATTCCAGTAATCTAACCAATGACCAGAAACCAGTTAAAGACAGTAATGTTGATCCAGACGACACCAGGAGTACCAAAGTGGTACCAGAGGCTGCTGGAGCAGAACGTGGAAATGGTAACGGCAGGGGCAGCGGCGAGCTAGCAGGAGGAAAAGGTGTAACAACCCAGGAAGGCCCACTGCATCACCCACTGACTCCATCAAAGCGTCGCACCGTACTGAACATCTCGCCACCTCCAGAAGATTTGTTTGATGACAGCCAAATGTCCTGCCAAGATGATGGGACCCAGGATACAGAGCAAAGTAACAGCATCTGGATGGATGAATCTCTGTCCAACTTCAGTGTGACGAGCACGCTGTCTTACAATGACAACACAGAGGTGCCACGGAAGTCCCGCAAACGTACCCCCCGTCAAAGGCCTGGCCCTAAGACGGCGCCAGCAGGGGAGGGCAGCATGGATGTGTTTGATGCAGACAGTGCCAAAGGCCCACACTTTGTCCTGTCGCAGCTAGGCCCTGACAGCAAGGGAGGACATAAAGGAAGGTTTGTACTTTTTGTATTATGATCACCAGAAATTTGTCACATGCCTCTCGACATTTCATGGAGTTGTCAAAAATATTTCCAGTGGTTTCTTCCTGATTAAAGGGAGGTTTTCCTTCCCACTGTTGCCAAAGCGATTGCTCATGGGGGTCATATCATTGTTGGGGTTTTCTGTTTTTTCTGTACTATTGTAGCACCTTGAGGCAACTGTTATTGTGATTTGGCACTATATAAATAGAATTGATTTTGAAATAAATGATGTTACATTATCAGTAAGTAAAGAAAACACATTGATTTAGGACATTGTTGACTCACTTGTTAGCTAACTTTTTGTTCATTTAATAGTTTCCTTTGATAGTTGCACCAGCCCTTTAGTAGTTACTTGGGTACTCAGCCTTTCTCTGACTATAACTTTAAAGACCCGTTTTAATAATTTTGCTCAGCCCTCATCGTTATTGTAGAAGGAGGTAGTATCACGAAATGATACGTTGGCACACACCGACAGATGGAAATCTTTACCAAACTGATCTGGCTCTAAATTTCCCACCACACTTTGACTGAAGGAGAGCGGTTAGATCAGAGGGGAGGGAGGGGCAGGATACTGAAGTACAAACAATGGTCAGCCACAGTGAATCACAGAGCCCTTCTCAAAGACCTAGGATAAGCAGAGCCGATTAAATAAACAGATAAGGCTGAACGTTTTAGGAGCTGGGGATAGAAAATGTTTGGTTGATGGACACCCTCTGAACTCTGCATTGCTTAGAGCACCATGGCAACTTCAGAGCAGTTTCACTGTTGTGACTGAGAGCTATGTACTGCAGCAAACCCCAGCCAATTGCATACAGATATATAATACTGTTAGGGTTCTTTTTATTTAAACTGGGGTTCTGAACCTAACATTGCTGCAAACACTTGCATGGATTAAGTTGAAGACTTTTTAATCCATCATAGGCTACATGAAAACGTTAGAATTAGAGATCATCTGCTCGTGTCTCTGTCAAATTGGTCTTTGCTGCAGTGCTGATGAACCTCAGACTACTATTCAGAAAGGAGGAACTCTCTCGATGCAGTTCCCACAAAAGAGTGAGGGGAAAGAGTTGAAGATCCTCGTCCAGCCTGAGACCCAACACAGAGCCCGCTATCTGACCGAAGGCAGCAGAGGATCCGTGAAGGACCGCACTCAGCAGGGCTTCCCTACTGTAAAGGTAATTGTAAAACTCCTCTGTAGTTAATGTTGAAATTCTACTGCTTTAGCATCCCTGTGTTTAACGTTAGCATAAGGTGAAAGTAATTGCTGATATTGAATTTATTACTTGCAACATTTTCCAAAGAAGTTGGGGCACTCCTGGGCTTCCCTACAACTTTTTTTTTTTTTTAACAATACTGTATTGAACTGAGAAGACAAGTTGCTGTCATTTTGAAAGCAAAATGGTCCCTCAATTTTCATTTGAGCCTCCTAACAGATAGGCCTCTTGTGTTTTACGTATATCAAATGTTTTCTCCAAGTGATGGGTCTGGACTGTGTTCACTGACAATGATTTTGTGAAGTGTTCCACTTGTGTTCAAGTGGATATCCACGTCCTTGGGAGGATGAAACGAAGTGTCAGAGTCTGTAATATTTCATGAGACTGTTAGTTCTCACTGCTGTTCACAAATGAGGACGTTGGATGAGGAAATCAGCTCCTTCAGACTGTCAGTCACTTATCAGGAATCCAACTTTCACTTGAGTTCATGTGTGAAAAAAGGGACCTAAGCTTTAAGGAGCTGTAGCTTGATGAAAAAGGAATTAAATTTTATGTACTCGCTCAAACTAAAGCTGAGCTGTAGTTAACCGACTTCAAAAGCAGACAAAAACCAGACGTTAGTCAGAACAGGCACATTGTCTTGTGTTTGATCATTCATTTGCCCAGGTTCTGCAGATGGTCACAAGGCAGCCAGAGCCCAGAAATGACAGGTGAATCCAAACTGATAAAACAATCACCAAAGCCATAAAGAACTAAAGCTGACCGATTTGCATCTGAAAGCAGAATCCAATAATAAATTAAGCTAACAATGTCCTTGAGCAAGACATTGACACTGTGGAGGTAAGCATCAACGACACAGCTCTCAGTTCTCACTCCTTCTTTATTCGTCCACAACACCATCAATGTCAGGGCAGGTAGGTGAAGATGCACAAGTTCAGCTGAATGCACAGAACTGATTGGGCATTATATGATGGAATAGTGTAAACTGGGAGCTCATTATTAGCACAGAAGTTTCAGAAATAAGCAGTTCATAGTCCATAGTTTTGTATGAAAATGTTATGACACAGCAGATCTACAATGAGCTCCGTTTGATTGCTCATCTGTTTTTGCCTTGCACAGTTGGAGGGAGTGAGCGAGCCAGTGGTTTTGCAGGTGTTCGTTGGCACCGATGCCGGCCGCGTGAAGCCTCATGGGTTTTACCAAGCCTGCAGGGTTACTGGTCGCAACACCACAGCCTGCAAGGAGGTTGATATTGAAGGCACAACTGTTATCGAAGTGTCCCTGGATCCAAGCTCCAACATGACCCTAGCGTACGTGCTTTTCTTAAAACTGAAATTGTGTCATTTAAGTGATAGTTGTTAGTCATACTAAGAACATTTCCTTATAATTGCCAAAATCCTCTTGAGAGCAAGTAAACCCAAGTTAACACTGCCCCTCACTGCAGGGTGGACTGTGTTGGGATCCTGAAGCTCCGCAACGCTGATGTAGAGGCTCGCATTGGGGTGGCCGGATCAAAGAAGAAGAGCACACGTGCTCGGCTCGTGTTTCGGGTCAACATCCCCCGTCCAGATGGTTCAGTGCTTACACTACAGACTCCCTCATCTCCAATCCTGTGTAGTAAGTCATTTTTCTCATACTTTGACTGGAAATACTATGTTGTGAAGTCGGTATATTAGTTAAACCACTTAAAAAAACTTTGTGCAGAAAATTATCCAGCAAGGTTTAATTACAAGGTATTATTTACGATATTCATGTAGTTATGACAGGTTAAGTGTGCGAAAATGGGTAGCTGACCTGTAACATGCCTGTTAATAATGACTATAATAATGTAAACTGAATTTTTTTCAGCTCCTGTTTCTCCATTTTTAGAGTCAGAGATCAGGAGACTATTGTCTTCTGATATCAACATTTGGAGAGGAAGGAGACAAAGATCCCATTAGACTGAGTTGTTTAATAATGCCTACAGAATGCAGAAGTACAAAGGTGTGGTTGTTTTTATAAACAGGAAAGACGCTTAGGGCCGTAAGAAAATATCTGTGTCAGTGGATTTGGGAGAATTTGCTCTGAGAGTGGCAGGGGAGAAAGAGAGGGCAAGGACGAAACAATAGGTGTGTGAACTTCTATTGTTTACACGGAGCCAGCATACAACCCAGGGAAATATCTTTCCACGAAACAAGAAAAAACAGTAATCCTGCTTGGCATCTTAGTGTGTGTGCATGTCTGTACGTGTGCGTGTGTGGGGGCGGATATTACTCATATCATGGGGACTTAAATCTGTTTATACAGTCATATTATGGAGACTGTAACTCGTGACCTGACGAGGTAGTTATAAGATTGGGTTAGATCTGAGAAAGTAATGGTTATGTTTAAGGTTGACATGGTTAATAATATCCTTTGAAGTGTGTGTGTGTGTGTGTGTGTGTGTGTGTGTGTGTGTGTGTGTGTGTGTGTGCACGCACCCATATCCACACGATATGGGTGCGGTGTACAGTAGACAATGCCCACCAAAATCAATGTTGAAGGTAAAGGGTATGTTAAGCATTTGCATTTACAGTTTTCTCAATACTTGGTGATCAGTTTTTCATTTTTGATAAAATATCTTTGAAATATTTATATTTACTGAAAGTTTTAATTTGAAAAGGCGAAACAAAGCTGCCAATCTCCTTAGAAATTTTTGTTTTCATATTAGTTTTTTGAATCACTGCTTCAGTCCTTTCAGCATGAATTTCTTTGCTGTTACTGTTAGATTTCATTTTATTTCTGCCTGGGTTGCACGTATAAATAAAACTTTAAAACATAAATGCATGACGTGTATCTGCTGTGTTTACAGCCCAGCCAGCAGGAGTGCCTGAAATACTGAAAAAGTCACTGCACAGCTGTTCAGTGAGGGGTGGAGAGGAGGTCTTCATCATTGGAAAAAACTTTCTTAAAGACACCAAAGTCATATTTCACGAGAATGCCTCTGGTCAGTAGTAAAGCTTTATGTTTTGCATGGTTATTATAGGTGAGGTCATTTCTCTGGTTGATGCTTTACATCGTTTCTGTGTTTCAGATGAGAAGTCATGGAAGGCAGAGGCTGAAATTGACATGGAGCTTTTTCACCAGGTGTGTTTTTTATCTATTTTTAATCTTTTTTGTGACAAACAATTATGGTAATGGATAACGAGCTCAGTAGATAGATGCAGCCATTTCAGACTGGTAAGTGGCTTTAGATGTAATCATCTTAAATGGCTGCTGTTCAAAGGTTTGAGTAGTCTCATTGTGTTCTGACCTAATTACACTCCATCTTAGAGGCTATTACTGAGTGTGTCTCAACAGTCCAGTCTGAACCTTTGCTCTTGTTAAATGACATGACCAGAGCAATGAATCTGCAGCTGCCAAATGAAAGTATTCACATTTTGCTAAGACCTTGACACCCTCATAAACCAGTTTTACAGTTATCTGAAGTTGTGATGTGTATTGTTTGGAAAGGCTGAACAAACATGATTGAATGAACCAACTCGGCTAACTATGCTTTGATGATTTGAAAGATAATTTGGCATTACTTTGGTCGGTTAATGGTTTTCTGTGCTTCTTCATTATTGAGCCAAGTTTTACCGCCACCAGCTGCTGATAGCTGGAAGTGCTACTGTCATTGATATTTAGTTGACATGGCTGCATGTTAGTGGCTAACACATCTGCCTCAGACACAATCAGATCCCAGGGTCAAGGCTGGAATGCTAGTGGACTCAAAGTGCTGGTCCCAAGCCTGGATAAATGGGAGGGTTGCATGTAGGATTAATATTAATAGCAAAATAATATCAATATCTGGTAGCTGCAAATCCATCGTCTACAGCGAGAGTAAGAAATATGATTCATTGCCCATTTATATTTGGTTTCACTGTGATGTCAGATGTGTCACAGAAATCTCTATAGCAGAATGCTGAAGTTGGGTAGTCTTATTGTTGTAGTCGTGTTTGCTGATGATCTTTTTTGTTTATCATCCCAAAGAATCACCTGATAGTAAAGGTTCCTCCCTACCAGAACCAAGTCATCACATCTAAAGTGTGTGTAGGAATCTACGTGGTGACGAATGCTGGGAGATCCCATGACGTTCAGCCATTTACTTACACTCCAGATCCAGGTTTGTTTGAATCCGTTTCACACTAATTCACATGAAGTGTGTCCTTTTTACAATCGGCTGATAGAAAGATGACCATGAAAATGTAATCGGGATTCTGGTAACCTTGCATGTAGCCTTCAGATTACTGGGTCATTTCCCACACATTGCTGATTAGATTTACTGACTGGTACCAAAGCAGACCAACCTAGTTAGAAAATAAAGCTGGATTGTATTTAACACCCCAGACACACAGGCCAAATTTTCACTCTCTAGGTGTTTGGCCTTGAGGAATACACATTCTTTTCCTGGTGACCGATGGTTGCCAGGGGTTCGCAAACCAGTCTATTAGCCTGTGTGATTGGGCCTTAAAAACGTTTTTGTTTTAATATATAATTATGCTTTTATGAATGTTCTTGTGTACAGTAGTCATAAGACTTACATCACTTCTTTGTTGAGTATATCAATATATTGTCATTGTTATTTTAGCAGTCATTACCTTTTAAATTGTCTCTTTACTAGTTAATTTGATATCCTTTTAGTCCTCTGGGTAAAACACTGTAAGATGTGACAAAGTAACTAAACTAAAATTTAGTAAGCAATTTAATTAGCTGTCCACTCACATCATATGTAGCTTTACTTAACTAACATTTTTGCTGTGCATTGATTTTTGTCGTTTTGCTGACACTTGCAGCAACAATCGATGTTCCTGTGAAGAAAGAGTTGCCTTCTCCAGTGAAGACGTGTTCTTTTGATGAGCAAATTAAAGGTTATTTTTTATTTATTTCAATTTTTTAACAAAGACACCAAGGTTTCCTATATATAGTAAAGTGAATACATGGAAAAAAATGTAATGTAATCCTTGCTACTCGTACGGTTGTAGATAGATCCCTGATGCCTTTGTTGTCTTTAGTAAAGAGAGAAGATGTCACTCCAATGGAGGTGACAAGCAACCTTCAGTCTTCAGGAGTATTTAAGGTGAAGCTTTTATCTTATATGTTGCTTTCATAATTTGTTTTAAAGTCAAGTCGTTCAGTTCGTTCATGTTTTATTGTCCCTGAAATAAAGCATAAAGGTAGTATTCTGTGTTTTGAAAAAGAGAATAACAGTGATGCATAACTGAAAAGCAAAGTGAAGCACATCTTTTGTGTTCTGTTTTGTGGGTTATCAGCAGACTGGTGATCTGTGCCCAGCCCAGCAGAACTCTGATATGACAGCAGGACATCTAAATAAAAACAGAGTATTCTCCAGCAACCTGTCTCAGCCTGCAGGTGATCCTGACAAAGGCCAGGCGCCTGTTTTTACCAGCGCTGAGCCCTTAAGCACCATCCAGAAGCAGGACATTGTTGCGGGCAGCTCGTTCTCTGTGCCTGCAGACTCTCTGCTTCAGCAAGGATCACAGCAGTTCCTTTTGGAGACCAGAGATGGCCTCAGGCAGGAGAGGCCAGGTGTCAGTTCTGGAGCTGTGGGAAGGTTGTGTGGGGAACCTGCATCTCAACCGCAGCAGCTGCCACTCTTTCCTCCAGATGAAGTAGCCCAGCTGGAAGAAGCAGTGAGACAACTAAAAGCCAAAGGATACTGTAACTTATCACTTCAATCTGACAACCCTATAACCAAACAGCAGCAGCAACACATCCAGCATCAGCAACAGATCCAAAAACAGCAAATTCAGCAGCAGCAGCAGCAGGTTATGGAGAATCTGCAGCAGCAGCTGTTTCAGTCACAGATGCAGATGCACTGTGCCATGTTTCAGGATGCATCCCAGGCCAAGAATGGAGAGCTTCAGGTCTCATCACCAGGTGTGGTGACTAACCAGGGATCACTTTTCCAGCCGGACCAGCAACAGCAACAACAGCAACAACAACAGCAGCAGCAGCAGCAACAGCAAGCAGCTCTTTTTCAGCAGGCAAATGATCTTCTTTCTATCCAGACAAACTTCCTCCAGCAGACCCCATCTCACTCTTCACCACCGATGTTTCACAATCCCAGCACTCTGGCAGAAACGCAGGATCCACAGGGGGCGCTGTTTCAAAAAGCCTCCCAGGAACAGGTCCAGGCTGCACTCTTCCAAAGCACCATGACAGTGCTACAGTCTCCAGAGCAGCAAGCCTCATCCCCTGGACTCTTCCTCCCCCAGACCTCTATGTCCAATCAGCTTTCAAACAACAGTTCCCAGCAACAGCAGCAGCAGCAGCAACAGCAGCAACAGCAGCAGCAGCTGGCCTTCCTTAGCGCTTTACAATCTTCTTCCCCTGAACCACAGTCAGTATTTCAGACCCAGATCTCCCCCATCCAGCAGAGAAGCCCCATGGAGCAGGAGCAACCATCTCAGCCTCAACACCACACACAGCCAGCCCAGCAGGCCACCCTGTTTCAGAACATCTCCCCACATTCATCTACAAATTCACTTTCTCCAGGACAGCAGCAGCAGCAACAGCAGGCTGGCTTGCTGTTTTGCAGCAACACACTTTCCACACCAGACCAGGGCTCTAGCATCCTTTTCAGCAACCAAGGCCAAATGCCTCCTTTGACCAACAACAGTCTAGTTTCTCAAGAGCCCCAAAACACCCCTCTGCCCTTTTCTCAAGCCAACATGGTGACGGTAACCCAGCAAGATCGCCCAGAACCCATGACCTTAGGGAACCCTACTGAACCACCACAGCAAGCCATGTTTCAGGAGCAACAACCTATGCAGCTGGGGAACAGCAGCAACAGAGAGGAGCAGCCTGTGGGTCTCTTCATGCCTCAGTCCACTATGGCCTCTCTGCAGGGGGGTCTGGCCGCTCAGGAGCTTGCACAATCAGCCGTGTTTGCCTCACAGAATGGCGTGGCAAACCTCCAGACAACTACGTCCTCCCCTGTTCAACAGCCAGGATCTCTGTTTCAAACAGCTGTGAGTGGGAGCGTCAATCAATCCAGCCAGCCTCAACAAGCTGGCCTCTTCCTTTTCGGTATCCAGAACGGTAAGGAATTTATTAGGCAAGTGCACGTTGTTGAAACTGCTGAAATGACTCAAAGTGAGAAGTGAGGAACAAGATTATCACTTAGTTACTTTTAGTTCACTCTGGTTGCTCTCATTAGAGTTGTTTCCAGATGCAGCAAACAGCTGTTTATGGCAAGAAAAGATACAGTTAGTAATTAGCTGGTAAACCTAAAGGAGTATTACATAGTCAAAAAGCCCATTTTTCTTCTTCATTATTTAGCAGAGCTAAAAAGAAGCTTCGTTGAGTGATGAGACTCACAACTTTGACTACTGAGCATTGCTTCGTATCTATTCAGTAGATTCACCACATCAACTTAAAGCGTGATAGAAAGTTAATGTGTTCATTGCATAGACAAGGGGTAGGCAACTCCAGACTGTGTTGGATCAAGGACACATCTAAATCCTGCAGGACACCAGTACTCGAGGCCTGGACTTGCCTACCCCTGGCATAGACTGTATCTCTATGTATCACTACTTGTTTCTGCTGCCCTCAAGTGGCAAAAATGAGTTACTTCAGATTAAATTTCACATGTCTGTGAAATACCAGTATTAGAATTTATCCTTTTTATTTTTATTAATGTTTATCTTTAACATATTTGTAAAGTTGTTGTTTTTTTTTTATCCCCATCCTTTAATTGTCCAATAAAAGAAAAACAAAACACAATTTTTAAGTCTGATTTATAGGTTGCAAATTGGCAAGAATTGAGTACAGTCAAATCTGGATTGTGAGGACTCATTATTGACAGTAAAGTAGTGTCTCCACTTTTCATTCAAATTTATGACCAAAGCATAAGTAATTAATAATCTGTTCACTGCTTACTTTATTCAAGGGCCTGTGGTTTGTTATTTTCTTGACTGTGGTTCCTGTTGAGTCATGAAGCTCTTTCTGTTCCTTCCTTGCAGAATGCGGCCAGTTGATGGAAACTCCTGGAAACACGCTGTCAGATCAGATAATAGCAATCAGCCAGTCTGGTCAGAACCAGAGAGAGAGTGAAGCGCACATCCAGTCCCTGCTCAGCCAGTCCCTCTCTCAGTCTGGCACTGTGCCGAACACCATGTCTGCCTCTCAGAACATGGAGAAGATTGACGATCTGCTGGTCAGCCTGCAGGAGCCGGGCAGCAACATAACTCGTTCCTACTAATTGAATGCAGGTTTATAACTTTTTCTTTCTTTAAAAAGTTTTATATGTGGAAAGATTGTAAAAATTTGTAGGTCCAAATATTGTCTCTTAGGAATTTTATGTAAGTTAAACCTTTAAAATTAACCCTCAGTGATGTGTTTATTTGTGGTCACTTCATGTTTTGTTTTTTTCTGAACTATATGCATATGATTTGGTCTTCTTTTAAGGGTGTGTTAGGAAAGAACAGTTAAGATGAGCTAAAGATTTTATAGTGATCATGAAGATAAAGTGGACAAATTAATATTCGGATAACTAAAAGAAATGAAACATAAACATCTCTAACTCAATGACTTAATGGCTGAAAATGGCAATGGACTCCAGAGAAGGAAACTTCCGTGAAACTTTGAAAGATGTTGAATTTAGACCTCGGGAAAGACACTAGCCAGCAATCCTTGGAATTTGTTAGATTTCTATCTGTAAGTAGAATTTCACTAATGTTATTAGCAGTATCTTTTAGTTCTTGTGGTGTTTTCACAAATCACATTCTTTTTTCTTTCTTTCCTTTTTTAAAAACGTTTGTATTTTGGTTGCACGGAGCATGGATTGTGTGACACAGTGAGAGGAGTGCAGTATGTAGGGGTTGAAGGGGTTTTAGTTCAAGGACCACATGAAATCAGTTTGATTTCATTTCAGTGGGTGTTAGGGCAGTTGAATCACTGAACTTCAACTTTAAAAAGTTTAATAAACATAAGATAACGAATCCTCCATTTTTCAAAAAGAAAACAAGAACCAACAGTCTGAGATGTTTTTGGTTTAACCTCAGTGTAGCATGACAGGCCATGAGTTATTTCTTTTTCAAGAGGGAGTTGGTTTAGACAGCCACTCTCATTAGTTGGATGATTTTTAATTACTTTTAACTACTGCTATTAAAAAAAACCAACAGACTGAAGAGACCAAAGATTGTGGAAGTTCTACAGTTTGTTAAAGTCTTCGAGTGGGCTGATTTGGCTCCTCTGCCCTCATGTTTGACACCCCTGGTAGGTAGCTTCTGTTGAGTCATGTGATCCAACAGTGTAGAAAATGTGAAAGAAGGCTGGAGCAGGCAGAGAAATGAGAGACAAAGGACGAGCTGTAAAAACGAATACACACTAATCTTATGTAATATCGCAATTAAGTTTTGTTTGTTTGTGGGTAATATTTCATTGTTGTAGCAGCAAGCTTGCACCCGATAGTGTAAATAAATCCGCTTTAGTTGTCTTTGTCACAAAGTGACTTTGGTTTCATCGATGATGGAAGCTCAGATGCTCACTAGGTGTGCTGTACTTTTCTGTGTTATATTTTGCTGCAAATCAGTCTTGTCAAGGCCAGTTGAGTAGACTGATGACTATAAACTAAAATATTTGTAGTTCAAGCAAAGCTCGTCAGTGCGGATGTGAAACACACACCAGTCAGCCACAATAATAAAACCTTCAATAGTTTAATGCAGTTTATCGCCCCGCTGGGAGAAGTTGGTTCCTGACATTCATGAGGATAACTGGACCTGTTGTTTGACCAGCGTGAATACAGCTCAAGGAACATCACGCTTCCCAGATCCCAGTGATGTCAAGCATCGACAGTTTGAGCTGGAACAAGCCTGGTCTACGGACTCCTCAATTTACTACCGACCAAGTCCAGAAGGATCCTCGCCACCAGAGATCAGGACTCTGCCAGAGGTGTTCTTGAGGGACCCATGCAATATTAGGAAGATGGGTTTTAATGTTGTGGCTGATCAGTGTCTTTTTGAGTATGAAATACTTTGCAGTATCCACCACAGTGTACAGGCTTTGTAATGACGGCGTGACAAAATTTAAGGCATTTAAAAAAAAAAAATCATCACCAGGAGGCAGCAAGTTTGCCTGAAGCTGCCTCTTCTGCATTGTTTACAGTGAATATGAATATGGATCATAAAAACAAATTACCACGAGAGTCTGATTTAAGCCAGTATCGCTAAATGTGCCCAAATTAGTTACTGTATAACAAAAATGTTTTATAACAGTGTGAATTTTTGACATCTATGTTACAACTGTCACTGTTCATTCACAGAAAAAGCTAAAACATTATTAGTCCTTTATTTTATTTATCCAGGTAAAAATTCTCATTGAGATTAAAAATCTAATTTCCAAGAGAGACCTGGCATCGTACTAACATATTAGAATCCTAAAAGCTGTGCTGGAAAACTGGACAAATCAGGAAAAACTTACATTACCTGCATTAAAATGTTAAATGCTAACTTCAGATGACCTATATCTCGTATATGTACATGCACCTAGAGCAGAATATATTATATGTAGAATATATATATTATATTTTTATTGTGTGCTTTAGTGTCATTTTGTTGATGTCATTCTGCGGCAGGCACGCATGAACAGGAGTAGTAGTCTTTTCTCTCTTTTTTTTTAAAGCCTTTCCAGCAGGTTAATAATGTGATTGATTCAGTGAATGTTGAAAAAGCAGCAGCATTCACTAATGCTACTGCACATCTCATCCAGGATAGTGTAGTAACATGTAACGAAGTAACGAATAGAGCCCGCTACGTATGTTTTCTTGTAAATGGATACTGTACAGTTTGGATACTGTACTGTACAGTTTATGTCGCCGTAAGCAGTTTGCCAGTGACCTCTGGACCAAAGGTTGACTCAAATCTTGCTCTGAATGAATCCAGGAATGATGGAAGGCCAGTTTTATGGCTCATGAGTTTTTATTCTCTTTTTACAGGCTTGCATTTTAGCTTTAAGATCAGCGTAGTTTTTTTTTTCTCTTCCTTTACAGAATTTACAGATTTTATTTTTAGATATTGTTCTACTGTTCACGCTTTCCCCCTCAATGTCATGTCTAGTTTCCCTTTAAAGTGTGTGCACGAACAAGGTGCTGGTCTCTGATAGGATCGGCCCCGTTTTACGCCTCGTTGTTGCCGTGTTTTCTGTGTATAGTTTGTCAGAAGTACATCAACGCCGCTACATTTTATACGCTTTCAAATCTGATTTAGCTGTCGGTTAGGATGGAGACGATGTAAACTAGTGTAATGTGTGGAGCTACAGGGCGTCAGTTGGAAGAGTTGGAGTGGTTTTTAAAGGGACCCGATTCCTGAAGAAAACCCGTCTTTGGAGAAAAGAGCTTTCTGAGACTGGCTTTCTTCAATTTGTGACTTTGTTTAATAACTAATATTTCCAGTGTTGAATATTTATGATTTAATTTTCTTTTGTTTGTAGATACTAATTCTTTTTTTTTTTTTATCAGTTTAGTACTTGTGCCTCTTTTCAGAGAAGTATATCTTAATTTATTTGTGTGTTGGTTAGTCTCCAAATTGTAATCGCAGCTGTGTTTCTAACTTCGTGAATGACACAGTTCGTGATTCGGCAGCCACCCCCCAAAGAGACACGCACACATGCTGATACAGGCACCTTGCGATGGATATTTCTGTGCACAGTTCCTTCTGTGACTTGCAGAAGTTGTAGTTACACCTTTAAGCTGACGTCACATGTTTATTTATGGTTTGTAATTAGACCGAAGGTCCGATGTGACCAAATACTTAAAAACAGGGCAACAGTATTTTTACAATGAAAATCATCCTAAATGTGCATCATGGTTGTAAAAGTGTCATTTTGAGACACAGTGAATGAATGGTACACATAAGGGGGAGGTGATTACTTTTTTTTTT